GAGGCGGGGGGGGGGGGGCGCCACGGGGCCCTTGCTCCCCTGCCACATCTCTGTGTGCAGGACAGCAGGGGAGGAAGCACGTTGGGAAGCAGGGGGGGGAAGTGTGCAGGGAAGCGCATCGGGAAGCGCGGGGAAGCAGGGGGGAAGCGTGCAGGGAAGCGCATTGGGAAGCGCATTGGGAAGCGCATTGGGAAACGCTTCATCTCTTTGACAGTGGCGCGCGGCACTTGCCCTCTTACTGCACCAGAAAGGTGCCCGAGCGTCGCTTCGCCCCTGCCTCGCAAGCGCGGGAGGCAGGGAGAGGGCTGCGGGAGCTGCTTTTCCCCGTGATTCAGGGAAATTTCAGATTCATCCTCCCGCCTCGGCCGGGGGAGGAGGGAACGGAGCTTTGGGAATATTCGCTTTGCTGCCTCTTCGGTGCTCGCTTGCGCTCGCTTCACCCGTGGGAGGGCAGGAAGGCACGAGGGGGCACTCAGTGGCAGCGCAGGCGGCTGCACCAGGTCCCGAGCCCCTCCTGGTCCCTGTTTAGGGTCCCCAAATGCCCGCCCCAGGGCAGGGAGAGCTTTCACAGGGTGCATGGGGACGTGGCACCTGGAACGAGGGATGGGCAAAGGACAGGCAAACTCATCGCACCGTGGGGAGCCGGCAGGAGGAGGAGGCTTCCCAAGGGCTATTTGGAGCCCCCCCCAGGATGGGTTTTGCGGAGGGGGATTGAGCAGGGGGGCAGCAGGCGCTGGATTCGGTGCCTTCCTCCCCTGTCTCCACAGGCTGCCAAGCTCCCCATGTCCATCATCATCGTGGGCGTTGGACAGGCCGAGTTCGACGGTAAGACCGGGGCCAGCCCCAAAATCGGGGCCCTTGGGAGGAGGGCAGGGGCCGGCGGCGGCGGCGCAGGGTGGAGCAGGGGAGGACGCTGGGGCTCCCGCAGCCATGGTGGAGCTGGACGGTGACGACGTGCGCATCTCCTCCCGCGGGAAGGTGGCCGAGCGCGACATCGTGCAGGTAAGGCCGAGCCCCCCCTGCCGGCTCTGGGTGCGGGTGACGTGTGGGGGAGCCCTGATGGCCCTGGGTCTGTCCCATCCCTCCCCTTTCTGCCAGGGCTGCACCGGGACCTCAGGGGGACACGGGGCCAAGCCAGGAGGGATGAAGGCTTGGGGACATGCAGGGATGCACCAGGACAGGGGGATGCATCAAGACAGGAGGACACAGGGACAGAGCAGGGGGGAAAACACTGGGACATGGGGATGCACCAGGACCTGCGGACCTACTGGGCCACAGGGATGCACCAGGACATGCTGGGACATGGGGACAGAGGGTTGCACCAGGACCCGGGGTGGGATGAAGCCATGAAGCCACGGGGGAGACAGGGATGTCCCGGGGATGCACTCGGCCATGGCGGGATGTACTGGGACACAGGAACATGGGGCTGCACCAGGGCTTGGGGGGGACAGCAGGGCTTGGGAACCCATTCGCTCCGTGTCCCCTGCTCTCCCTGCCAGTTTGTCCCCTTCCGCGACTACATGATGCACGCAGGCAACCAGGTGCTCAGCATGGCCCGCCTGGCCAAGGACGTGCTGGCCGAGATCCCCGAGCAGCTCGTGTCCTACATGAAGGGCCGGGGCATCAAACCGCAGGCGGCGCCCGAAGCCTCGGGCCCCCCCGCGTCCCCGCAGCCCTGATGCCCCCCGTCACCTCTGCATGGGGCTGCTCCTCCTCATCCTCCTCTCGCCGGGTGCCCCCAGGCCCCAACGCCACCGCGGGGGACGAGCCAGGAGGTTTTGCCAAGTTCCACTCCCCAGTATAAGGAATAAATCACAGCGGGTCCCTGCCAGCTGCCTCCGGGCCCAGCCCTGTGTCCCCTCCCCTTGTCCTGCGGCGCCCAATCCCCCCCGTGTCCCCTAAACCTGGCTCCCCAACGGGGACAGAGGAGCCACCACAGGGCTGAGCCCGGACGTCCCCAGGGCCTTGGCACCTTCCCCCCTGACCCCAGCTCAGTTTTTTACTTGCATGGTCACGTCCCCTGCTCCGGTCTTTCTTGTGCCTGGCTCCTGTGATGTTCAATTGCCTTAAACCCGAATAAATTCAGTCTTTTTCACTACTGTTTTCCTGCCTGCTGCTGCTGCTCAGGTGAGCACCCCCCCTTCCCCCCCTGCTGCCCACACAGATCAGCTCACACAAAGTCCAGGTTGGCTTTATTTCTAACCCAAATATTGCAAATATACAGAAAAATACCAGTACAAAGTTATTACACATCCAGGTTTATTTTCAGGACTCTACACAGGCCTCGGTCCAACCCCCCGCCCCGCTGTTCCCGCTGTCCCCCCGTTTTCCCCTCCCAGGGCTATGGCTTTGGGGCCGGGGCTGCGCAGG